ACAGCACTTTGTGAACCTCCACGCTGCTCCGAACCTCGACGGGGAAGGTTCGCGGAACGACGGTTGCGAGACGGTCTCGGGTCATGGTCGGATCATGCTCCGATCATGGGCGGAATCGTCCCTCCATTGCGATTAGAGTTTTCATGCGCAGAGTTTGTGGCAGGCACAGCACTTTGTGAACCTCCATGCTGCTCCGAACCTCCACGGGGAAGCTCCGGGTCATGGTCGGATCATGCTCGGATCATGGGCGGAATCGTCCCTCCATTGCGATTAGAGTTTTCACTTGTTTCTTGAAGCGCAGGGTTCGTGGCAGGCGCAGCACTTTGTGAACCTCCATGCGCAGATTGCGTGGCAGGCGCAGTACTTTGTGGACCTCCATGTGCAGATTTCGTGGCAGGCACAGCACTTTGTGAACCTCGATGCGCAGATTGCGTGGCAGGCGCAATACTTTGTGAACCTCCATGCGCAGATGTCGTGGCAGGCACAGCACTTTGCGAACCTCCATCTCCATGCGCGGATGTTGTGGCAGGCGCTGCACTTTGTGAACCTCCACGTGCAGATTTCGTGGCAGGCACAGCAATTTGCGAACCTCCATGTGCAGATTTCGTGGCAGGCGCAGCACTTTGCGAACCTCCATGCGCAGATTTCGTAGCAGGCACAGCACTTTGTGAACCTCCGTGTGCAGATTTCGTGGCAGGCACAGCACTGTGTGGCACTGTGTGAACCTCCATGTGTAGATTTCGTGGCGGGCGCTGCACTTTGTGAAATTCCACGCGCAGATTTCGTGGCAGGCACAGCAATTTGTGAACCTCCATGTGCAGATTTCGTGGCAGGTGCAGGACTTTGTGAACCTCCACGCGCAGATTTCGTAGCAGGCAAAGCACTTTGTGAACCTCCATGCGCAGATTTCGTGGCAGGCACAGCACGGTGCAGATTTCGTGGCAGGCACAGCACGGTGCAGATTTCGTGGCAGGCACAGCGGCACAGCACTTTGTGAACCTCCACGCTTCTCCGAGCCTCGACAAGGAAGCTCCGCGGAACGACGGCTGCGAGACGGTCTCGGGTCATGGTCGGATCATGCTCGGATCATGGGCGGAATCAACCCTCCATTGTGATTAGAATTTTTCACTTGTTTCTTGAAGCGCAGGATTCGTGGCAGGCACAGCACTTTGTGAACCTCCATGCGCAGATTTCGTGGCAGGCGCCGCACTTTTTGAACCTCCATGCGCAGATTTCGTGGCAGGCGCAGCACTTTGTGAACCTCGAGGTGCAGATTTCGTGGCAGGCGCAGCACTTTGTGAACCTCCATGTGCAGATTTCGTGGCAGGCACAGCACTTTGTGAACCTCCATGCGCATTTTTCGTGGCAGGTGCAGCACTTTGTGAACCTCCATGTGTAGATTTCGTGGCAGGCGCAGCGATATGCGAACCTCCAAGTGCAGATTTCGTGGCAGGCACAGCACTTTGTGAACCTCGAGGTGCAGATTTCGTGGCAGGCGCAGCATAGAAGGGCGACTTTGTGAACCTGGGGAGCTGGAAGCTGAGAACTGGCGACTTTGTAGTGCAACTTTAGTACGCGGAGTAATCTGGCGAGGTGGAGGCTGAGAACTGGCGACTTTCTAGTACAACTTTAGTACGCGGAGCAATCTGTGGAGCTGGAACCCGAGAACTGGCGACCTTGTAGTGCAACTTTAGTGCGCGGAGTATCTGGCGAGCTGGAAAGATGAGAACTGGCGACTTCGTAGTGCAACTTTAGTGCGCGGAGTAGCTGGGGAGCTGGAAGATGAGAACTGGCGACTTTGTAGTCCAACTTTAGTACGCGAAGCAATCTGTGGAGCTGGAAGCTGAGAACTGGCGACTTTCTAGTACAACTTTAGTACGCGGAGCAATCTGTGGAGCTGGAAGCTGAGAACTGGTGACTTTGTAGTACAACTTTAGTACGCGGAGCAATCTGTGGAGCTGGAAGATGAGAACTGGCGACTTTGTAGTAGAACTTTAGTACGCGGAGTATCTGGGGAGCTGCAGACTGAGAACTGGCGACTTTGTAGTACAACTTCAGTGGGGAGCTGGAAGCTGAGAACTGGTGACTTTGTAGTACAACTTTAGTACGCGGAGTATCTGGGGAGCTGGGAGATGAGAACTGGCGACTTTGTAGTACAACTTTAGTACGCGGAGTATATGGGGAGCTGGAAGCTGAGAACTGGCGACTTTCTAGTGCAACTTTAGTACGCGGAGCAATCTGTGGAGCTGGATGCTGAGAACTGGCGACTTTGTAGTACAACTTTAGTACGCGGAGTATCTGGGCAGCTGGAAGACTTGTTTCGTCAAAGAACATCGCAGCTCAGCGAATCAGCCTGCCACATGCCCATTTCCGAAAGGTTTATTCTTTTGGAAACTTCCGCCGCCGGCTTGCCCGGAAACTACTTGTAGCGTCCTTGCTAGTTGTAGTGAGGCCAGGAGCCCCTAGTAGCGTCCTTGCTACTTGTAGTAAGGCCAGGAGCCCCTAGTAGCGTCCTTGCTACTAGTAGTCCTTGCTAGTTGTAGTAAGGCCAGGAGCCCCTAGTAGCGTCCTTGCTACTAGTCGTAAGGCCAGGAGCCCCTAGTAGCGTCCTTGCTACTAGTAGTAAGGCCAAGAGCCCCTAGTAGCGTCCTTCCTACTAGTGGTAGCCAGGAGCCCCTAGTAGCGTCCTTGCAGGCCAGGAGCCCCTAGTAG